TTGGCCCAGGACCTCCACTTTTTGCCGCTTTCCACGGCCTCCTGCTTCGCCTTGCGCGTGACTTCGTCTTGGGCGAGATCAGCGAAAGAGCCGCCCCTGACGTCCTCGGCCTCAAGCCGAGCAAAGGAGGCTTCCTTTAGGCCCTCCACATCAGCAGTCGCGAGTCGCGAACCAGGCCTCTATTGGCTGGGCACTCACTTGGGCTGCAGCTCGGATGCGGGACTGACCCATCTTCCCTTCCAAAAACTGAATGGCTAGGCGGCGGAGCGAAAGCCGCCTCTGAGTACTCCAGATTTCGTAATAAAAGGGAGGGGGTCTGGACCCTCCAAGACAAGCCATTTCAGACCTCCCCCGTGGGAGAACCCTCCAAAACATCGTCCCCAGACCCCCCAGGCCCTCCAAGATAGCCTGGAAGAGACCCCCCCCCGAAATGAGACCCCCCTCCCTTTATTACGAAATCTGGAGTATCTAAGTTCGAACGCGAGTGAAGCTATTGGCCCCGGGAAGCTTGCATCGGCACAAGCTGCGACTGGCAGCCCTTGGCCCTGCCCGAGCACTTGGTGGTCCCGGGTGTCGTTGACCTCGCAGAGGGCCTTCTCAGCCGCCTCGAAGCACCTGGAGGCCGCCTCCAGGTGGTCCAAGCCAGAACAGTCAGGGCTTTTCCAGGAGCTCGAAAAAAAGCCATCGCATCCCTCTTTGTTTTGGACCTGGGCAGTGGAAGCGCAGCTGCGGACATGAAGCGACAAGCACTTGCTGAGCACGAGAAAGTCGTAGCAGCTGTCCTGGCAAGCCGAACTATGCAGGTCCTCACGTGGTATATCAACTGGGCCTGTCGGAGGGACTCGGCATCACTGTTCAGTCGCCTCCGATGATGGAAGGGATCCCTGCCGACGCTGCCACCTCGCTGACATGATCGAGGAAATCAATGTTTGCCCCAGCCAAGCCCAGAGTCGCGTGTCCTTGCGCGGTGATGGACAACATCTGATTGTCTGGCGGAAGGGCGACTCGATGTGCAAAGGTCCTTTCCGAGCACTTCTCATGAACGAAGGTCGCAGCACCAAACTGTGATTGAACCGAAACCGCCGTGCCACCTGAGGACTTTCGCTCGCCGTCTCCCGTCTTGGCCGCAGCCCCGAACGGCGATGTGTAATCTGCCTTCGCAGCCCATGACCGAGGCGAAGCCAGCTGGTGAGGAAGAAGCCACTGCTCTTGAAATAGAAGCACTTCAAGCCTGTGGCCCAAGCTTTGGATTTATGCGTCACGAGCGTAAAAACATCCGATCCAGCAGCCCCAGCAGGGGAGGTGCCGCTCTAGACTGCAGAAAGAGCGCGTTCTGTGGTCGCTTGGGGGAAACGGACCCCCCCTTGCTGGATGGATGGGTGGGGTTCGAACCCCCCCCCCTCCCGTGACGACCCCCCCCCCCTACTTCTCTTCTCTTCCTCTCCTCGGCTGGCGGCGGCGGCGGCGGGGACAGCGATTTCCTTTTCTGGGCCGGCGCCGGCGCCTGCGGCGGCGGGCGGCGGCGGCGGGGAGCGTCGACGAGGACGACGGTGGTGGTGGTGGTGGGTTGTGGTGGTGGTGGTGGTTTGGTGGTGGTGGTGGTGGTGATGGTTGTGTTGTGGTGGTGGTGGTGGTGGTGGTGGTGGTGGGGTGTGGTTGTGGTGTGGTTGGTCGTTGGTGGTGGTGTGGTGGTGGGTTGTGGTGTTGGTTGTGGTGGTGGTAGTTTGGTGGTGGTGTGGTGGTGGTTTGTGGTGGTGGCGGTGGTGGGTTGTGGTGTTGGTGGTGGTTTGTGGAGGTGGTGCTGGTGGTGGTGGTGGCGGTGGTGGTGGTGGTGTGGTGGTTTGTGTGGTGGTGGTGGTGGTGTGGGTGGTGGTGGTGGTGGCGGTGGTTGTGGTGGTGGTTTTGGTGGTGGTGGTGGTGTGGTGGTGGGTTTTTGTGGTGGTGGTGGTGATGGTGAGTTGGTGGTGGGGCGGTTGTGTGGTGGTGGTGGTTGTGGCTGTGGTGGTGGTGGTGTGTGGTGGGTTGTGCTGGTGGGTTAGGGCGGCGGTGGTGGTAGTAGTTTTGGAGGTGGTGGTGGTGGTGGTGGTTCTCGTCGCTGCGTCCCCGCCGTCGCCGACGCCAGCGCCGGCGCTGCTGGCCGCCGCCAGCGCCGGCGATGGCGCCAAAGTGGGGGGTTTGAACCCCCCCCCCCTCTGGGCTGCCTCTGGTCATCGTCGCTGCGTCCCCGCCGTCGGTGCTGCTGGCTGCCGCGGGCGCTGGCGCCCGGGGGGGGGGGGGTTCGGGAGGGGGGGGTTTGTAGGGGAGGGGAGTCCCCTTGGTTTTGATCGATGGCGCCGAGTGTTGGGGGGGGGGCCGTCCCCACATGCCCGCTGCACTCTCCCGTCGGGATCTGCCCTGGCACATGGCTCGAAGGCTCCCCCAGGGTGGCTGAGCACCCCGAACACTGCCCAGAGGCTGTGTAGACTGTGGGTTGGCCGTCTCCGTAGTCCGAGCCTGGCGTCGCACCATGGAGCGGTCGTGTGGCTGCCCCTGCCGCGGAGGCGGGGGTGTAGGGTGCTCCCAGAGCTGCTCCCCGCCCCGACCAGACCAACACGCTGCCCCTCCTGTAAACTGCAAACCCGCTTACGTTGCCCCTCAAGCAACGGCACGCTCCCCTATCCTCGCGCCGACGGCGGCCCGAGGGCTCGTGGCACTCGGAGGGCCCACGGGCACCGCAGAAGACAAACCAACCAGGGCTCCAGCTACGGTAGCACCAGCCTCAGCAACCCTTGGCGACACAGCCCTGGCCCTCTTGCTGTTTACCACACGGTGCACCTGGGGGCAGGATGATGATGATGATGATGACGATGACGATGATGATGATGATGATGATGATGATGATGATGATGATGATGATGATGATGATGATGATGCTGATGCTGATGCTGATGATGCTGATGCTGATGATGCTGATGCTGATGCTAATGCTGATGCTGATGCTGATGCTGATGCTGATGATGATGATGATGATGCTGATGCTGATGATGATGATGATGATGAGGAGGAGGAGGAGGAGGAGGACGACGATGATGATGATGATGATGATGATGATGATGATGCTGATGATGATGATGATGATGATGATGATGATGATGATGATGATGATGATGATGATGATGAGATGATGATGATGATGATGATGATGATGCTGATGATGATGATGCTGATGCTGATGATGATGATGATGAGGAGGAGGAGGAGGAGGAGGAGGAGGAGGGGGAGGAGAGGAGCAGCAGGAGGAGGAGCAGAGAGAGAGCAGGAGGAGGAGGAGGAGGAAGAGGAGGAGGAGGAGGAGGAGGAGGAGGAGGAGGAGGAGGAGGAGGAGGAGGAGCAGGAGGAAGAGCACTGGCCAGGGCGGCTGGCGCACGGGGCGCTCCAGGGTTCGGGGAGCAGCAGTCGTGTCTGCGGCACGCCGCCGTGGAAGCCCATCCGGCGCGCTGCCGTCGCAGAGACACCATGCTTCCGGGCAGGAGGCGAAGGAGGAGCACGCGGACGGGCTGCAGTGGAAACCTATGCCAAGAAGCCCTGCTCGCCTGCCAGTCCTTGACCTCCGGCCGCTCCAGCGTGTTCCGTGCGCGGGCCCCGGAGGTCTGGGCCACTTCCCGTGGGCCGGCTTCTCCTTCGGAGCCATTGTCTGACGGTCCCGAGGCCTGGCGAGATCCGTCGCTCCAGCTTCTCTTGGAGCGCCGGATCGCTGGGGTCGCGTCCCGCCGCCGCAGGCCAGGCGGCACCCGCACGTCGTCGGACTGGGCTACAGCGGGGGCCATGCCAAGCCAAGAAACAGCCTGTTCGCCTCCAGGGTTCCTTGGGTTTCTTGGTATCGATGGCCTTGCGATGGAAAACGTGACGTTCCCGCACCAAAAGCTCATGGACGTCCTGGGGTCTCAGGGTTGGGCTTCTTGTGACAGGTGTCGCGTGGTCGCGCCCCCACTGTAGGACGAGGATAAATCAGCTCCAGGGCCTTCCAGAAAGCTCTCAGAGCGTGCCTGAACGGTCTGAGAAGGCCGCGGCGCCCGAGACGTCCTGCCAAACCGCCAGGTGATCGTCTTCTTATTCATTGTTCTGCCGATCGGCGCGGGTCCTCGCACCCCCCCCCCTCCCCTCCCCCCCCCTATGGAGTGGATCTTGTCTGTTTCTGGCGCCTGTTTCAGGCAGGTGGAGTCTCCCCCCATAGGACGCACTGCTGCACACGGTCGCATGAAGCAGAGGTTCGGAGCCAGACCACCCCCTTCCTCCCAAAATGTCGACACGCCGAATGGGAGAACGCTCACGAAATCTCCGAGATTCTCGATGTCTCTTCACTCGGAGTGATCCTTGTCCTGGCTTCGTCCTACAGTGCGGGCCCATGCCAAGAAACAGCCTGTTCGCCTCCAGGGTGCCCTGGGTTTCTTGGGTTTCGATGGTTTTGCGATGGAGAGCGTGACGTTCCCGCACCAAAAACCAATGGACGCCCTCGGGTCTCAGGGTTGGGTTTCTTGTGGAAGATTTCGTGTGGTCGTGCCCCCACTGTAGGACGAGGATAAATCCGCTCTAGGGCGTTCCAGGACAGACCCCCTCCCCCTCCCCTCCCCTTCCTGCCAAAATGTCGACACGCCGAATGAGAGAACGCTCAGGAGATCTCCGAGATTTTCGATGTCTCTTCACTCGGAGTGATCCTCGTCCTGGCTTTGTCCTACAGTGCAGGCCCATGCCAAGAAACAGCCTGTTCGCCTCCAGCGTGCCCTGGGTTTCTTTGATAGCGATGGCTTTGCGACCGATAGCGCGACGTTCCCGCACCAAAAGCTCATGGACGTCCTGGGGTCTCAGGGTTGGGTTTCTTGTGGGAAGTTTCGTGTGGTCGCGCCCCCACTGTAGGAAAAGGATGAATCAGCTCCAGGGCCTTCCAGAAAGCTCTCAGAGCGTGCCTGAACGGTCTGAGAAGGCCGCGGCGCCCGAGATGTCCTGCTAAACCGCCAGGTGATCGTCTTCTTATTCATTGTTCTGCCGATCGGCGCGGGCTCTTGCACCCCCCCCTCCCCTCCCCCCCCCATGGAGTGGATCTTGTCTATTTCTGGCGCCTGTTTCAGGCAGGTGGAGTCTCCCCCCTTAGGACGCACTGCTGCACACGGTCGCATGAAGCAGAGGTTCGGAGCCAGACCCCCCCCCCCTTCTTCCAAAAATGTCGACACGCCGAATGAGAGAACGCTCACGAAATCTCCGAGATTCTCGATGTGTCACTCGGAGTGATCCTCGTCCTGGCTTCGTCCTACAGTGCGGGCCCATGCCAAGAAACAGCCTGTTCGCCTCCAGGGTGCCCTGGGTTTCTTGGGTTTCGATGGTTTTGCGATGGAGAGCGTGACGCTCCCACACCAAGAACCAATAGACGCCCTGGGGTCTCAGGGTTGGGTTTCCCGTGGAAGTTTCTTTTTGGTCGGGTCTCCACTGCAGCTTGCCTCTCCTCCCCTCTCGCCCCCCCTCCCCTCTCGTCCCCCCTCCCCTCTCGTCCCTCCCCCCCCTCGACCTCTCTGCGGGAGGCCTGTGGGGCAGGCCTCCCCTCTCGTCCCCCCCCCTCCCTCTCGACTGGCCTCCACTGCGCGTCGCCGCCAGCGCCCCGGGGGGGGGCGCGGCGTGCCGCGCAGGCCGCCTCGGCCCCGGCGGCGCGCTCGCCTGGCGCCGCCGCGCCCCCCGGGGGCGGCTCGGCGCGGGCGGTGCGCCCGCCGGGGGTCGCGCCGATGGCCGGGGCGGGCACGCGCGCGGGGGCGCCGCGGAAGAGGCGCGGCTCGGCACGGGCGAAGTGGGTACTCCAGATTTCGTAATACAAGGGAGGGGGTCTGGACCCTCCAAGACGAGCCATTTCAGACCTCCCCCGTGGGAGAACCCTCCAAAACATCGTCCCCAGACCCCCCAGGCCCTCCAAGATAGCCTGGAAGACCCCCCCCCGAAATGAGACCCCCCTCCCTTTATTACGAAATCTGGAGTACAGTGCCCAACAGCGGTTCCTGTTCGTTTTGAGCAGGGCTCGCTGTCGGTGTCGCCGCGGCCTGTGTACATTTGAGGCAGACGGCCGCCTGCCCAACAGTGGCCGCTGTGGGTTTTTAGGACAACGTGTGTTGTTGGGCATTGTACCCATTTTTCCCGTACCCGTTTCGGGTGTCCAAGGCGGCGCTGGAGCCCGTTGGGGTCGTCTGCACGTGCGGTGGACGCCCATGCCAAGACACCGCCTGCTCGCCACCAGGGTGCCCCAGGTCTTTCCTGGGTCTCGCTGGTTCTGCGATGGGGAGCGTGACGCTCCCGCGCCCAAGAAGCCCATGGACCGCCTGGGGCCTCAGGGCTGGGCTCTCCTGTGGGAGGTGTCTTGGTGGTCGGGCCTCCACTGCAGGAGTGACCCTTGGCCCGCGTGGCCTCTGGTGGCGGGGCCCGCAGGGGCCCCGCCGATGGCCGAGCGCGCGGCGAGAGCAGCGTCCTGCGCGCTCGTGTCTCGTCCGCCCCGCGGCCCCCACAGAGCCGCGCGCCACATCCGAGGCGGGGGCCGATTCGTAACCACCGCATGGAGGGTCGATTGCGGAGACCTCGAGTCGATATCTCCGAAATCGACCCTCCATGCGGCCCAACTGTTATCCATGTCCACCGCCCGACCACGACGGGCGGTGGACATGGGTAATAGTTGGGCCCAGGGGGCCAACCTATGCCCGTACCCACCGCCCGCTGGGGCACCAGGGCCTCGGTTCTCCTGGGCGGTTGGATATGGATACGTCCCCACCTCGCGCCAAAGGTCGCTCTTACCCGGGGTCGCTCCTGCGTGCAGCCGATGGGGGTCGGAGGTGGCCCAGCACGGGCTCCGGCCAGCGGGGAGGGGGGGGCTGGGGGGCAGGCCCGAGGTGCCTGGGTCGACCAGGTGGTGTTCGCACTCTTCGGCCTCCTGGGGCCGCTTTCGGGCCCCAGGAGCGTGAACAACGGATCTGGGACGAAAAACTGCACCACATGGACCCCTGGGAGGGGTCCAGGGACCGACTTTGAACGGAACTGGCATCCCCCCCCCCCGGTCCTGACCGATTTTCTTTGGGCTTGTTTAGCTCAGATTCCTCGGCCGCCTCCAGCTCAGCGGCTCTCAAAGGTGAGGCCCTGATCGGTGGTGCGTCTAGGGCGTAAGGTTAGGTCGGGCATGTCCATCTACAGGCGGATTTTGGACGAAAAGCAGAACATAGTAGAAACATGCACCAAAATAGTCAACAAAGATTGGAAACATCGTCCCCAGAGTATTTCTGGACTATTTTTGAATATTTCTCCTGTAGAGGGGCATGCCCAATTTAAGCATTACCGAGAGGGGGTGGGCCTTCGCAGAGGATCCAGGCAGACGCTGGCCTTCCGAGAAGCTCTCTGAGCCTTCTCGAAAGCCACGGGAGCTTTTGAGAAGCCCCGTGGGTTTCTCCGAAGGGCTTAGGCGACTCGTCCTCCTCCTTCTCCTCCTCCTCCTCACCCTCCCCCTCCTCCTCACCCTCCTCTATCTCCTCCTCCCCTTCCTCCTCCTCCTCCTCCTCCTGCTCCTCCTGCTCCTCCTCCTCCTCCTCCAATCCTTGTCCTCATAAGTCATTTCTCCCTGTCGCACCCCGAGGCCAGTTTTTAGGGCGGGCCGGGCGTTTCGCCTGAGACTTCCTCACCACTTACGACTCTGAAGATTAGAAAATAGCAACAGGTTCACAGATTGAGGGCGGGTGGTTTTCAAAATGTGGCTCTCGCGTCAGCGCCGCGCACATTCGTTTCAACAAACTTCAAGAGTTTCACGGATTGAGGGCGGGTGGCTTTCAAAATTTGGTTCTCGCGTCAGCGCCGCGCACATTCCGTTCAACACATTGCGAGAGTTTCACGGATTGAGGGCGGGTGGTTTTCAAAATTTGGTTCTCGCTTTAGCTCCGCGCACATTCCTTTCAACAAATTGCGAGACTTTCACGGATTGAGGGCGGGTGGTTTTCAAAATTTGGTCTTCGCCTGAGCGCCGCGCAACATCGTTCTCAACAAATGCAAGACTTTCACGGATTGAGGGCGGTTCTTTTTTAACATGTGGTTCTCGCCTTAGCGCCGCGCACACTCGTTTAAACCTTTGCAAGGTTTCCACGGATTCCCATGATTAACGTACCAGAGATGTTGTTTATGAAGGATTCGCGATTATGCGAGTGCAACATTTATGTTGTTTCGAGGTGCTGAAGTCCCAAACATAGCTTTCTGGCACGGTTCCAGATCATCAGGACCCATTAGTCAGGTTGATCCGTGGCGTGGAAATCCCAAGAATGTTTTTATGTGTCAAGGTCTTCAAACGGTTGTCTTCCAACGAGGCAGTTCCCTCAATGCCAATGGGCCGTTGTAGGGGCCTGTAAAGAGGGAGCTTGGCACTCCTCCTCCTCCTCCTCTTCCTCCTCCTTCTCCTCCTCCTCCTTCCCGGGTCGCCTACGGCCCCGGGGGAAACCGTGCAATCCCAGGCTGAGCCTGCCGCTTGAGGCCACTCGTCCTTCGGGCCCCATGCCCCAGTTGGGGCTCGAGCTGGGCGGCATTTTTTGGGCGGTCTCGTTGGCCGTTTTCGCTTTTTGTCTCGCTTCGCGGCAGCGGCAGGACGAAGACGGAGCGAAGGGGCACGAAAGCAAAATGAACACGGAAAGCGCTGCTTAGCTCGAGCCCCATCGTTTAGTGCCTGCCTCTTTGAGCCGCCGAGAAGAGGAAATCCAGGAAAGAGCGTGTTCTACCGCTGCTGGCGGAAAACCGGGGGGGGTCACTGCCGGTTCTCACCCCCCCCCCCTCCGGAAAACGGCGGGGGGTCACTTTGGTTCGAACCCTCCCCCCCCCAGTCCATCATGATAACGGGGGGGGTGTCACTACCGGTTCGACACCCCCCCTCCTCGAAAACTGGGAGGGGTCACTACCGGTTCGAACCCCCCCCCCCCCTCCTCGAAAACGGGGGGGGTGCGGACAGTGGTGGGGACGGTGGTGGTGGGGACAGCGGTGAGGGGACAGCGGGACAGTGGTGGGGACGGTCGTGGTGGGGACAGTGGTGAAGGCGGTGGTGAGGACAGTGGTGGGACAGTAGCACAGTGGGGAAAGTGGTGGGGACAGTGGGGACTGGGACTGTGATGGGGACAGAGGGGACGCTGGGACAGCACAGTGAGACAGCGGGGACAGTGGGACAGTAGTGGGCACTGTGGGGACAGTGGTACAGTGGTGGGGACCGGGGGAAAGTGGGGAGAGTGGGACCGTGGTGGGGCAATGGTGGGGAGAGTGGGGACATTGACACACTGGTGGGGGGGGGGCACTGGTGGGGACAGCGGGGACAATGGTGGGAACAGTGGAGATAGTGGGACAGTGGTGGGGACGGCTGTGGTGGGGACAGTGGTGTGAGGACAGTGGCAATGTGGTGGAAACAGTTGGACAGTGGAGGGTACAGTTGTGGTGGGGACAGTGGTGAGGGCGGTGGCGTGGACGGCGGTGAGACAATGGGACAGAGGTGCAGTGGGGACAGTGGTGGGAACAGTGGGACAGCTCAGTGGGACAGCGGAGGAGACAGTGGGAAAGTGGGGACAGTGGGGACAGTCGGGCAGTGGTTGGGGCCGTGGAGAAAGTGGGGAGAGTGGAACCGTAGTGGGAACAGTGGTGGGGACAACGGGGACAGTGCGACAGTGGTGGGGGCACTGGTGGGGACAGTAGGGACGGTGGTGGAACCAGTGGGGACAGCGGTGGTGAGGACAGTGGTGCTGGGAACAGCAGTGGGGGTTGCGGTGCTGGCGGTGAGGGGGGGGGGTGTCGAGCCGGTAGTGACCCCCCCCGGTTTTCGAGGGGCGGGGGGGTTCGAACCGGTAGTGGCCCCCCCCGGTTTTCCGAGGGGGGGGGTTCGAACCAGCAGTGAACCCCCCGGTTTTCTTGAGGGGAGGGGGGGGGTTCGAACCCGCAGTGACCCCCCCTCCCTGGTTTTCTGGAGGGGGGGGTCGAACCGGTAGTGACCTTCCTTGGTTTTCTGGGGGGGGGGGAGGGGTTCGAACCGGTAGTGACCCCACACGGTTTTCCGAGGGGGGGGGGGAGGGGGGGTTCGGGAGGGGGGGGGGTTTTGCCGGGGGAAGGGGGGGGGTCCAGCAGGGAGGGGGGGGGGGTCGGGAGGGGGGGGGAACCCCGGGTTCCGGAGGAAGAGGGGGGGAATTTTCCACAGTAATGCGGCGGTGGACCCGGTGGATCACGCTCCATCAAATCTAGGCCTCCTGGATGGGGTCGGAGTAGATGGGGTCGGAGGATCGCGCCGCATCGCCGATGCATCGCCCATGCGGCTCGATGTGGGGCCCGATTTGCTTTGCGTCGACGTCGCCGATACATCAGCGTTACATCGGCGATGCATGGGCGATGCGGCGCTATCCTCCGACCCCACCTGCTCGGGCCCCACCTGGGAGGTCTCGAGGAAGGGCCTTCGGCGGCCTGGGCGCGGCGCCAGCAGCGCGACGCCTGCCGCGGGTGCGCCAGGCAGCCGCTGGCAGAGTCGTTGGCGGTCGTCGGCGTCGTCGGCGTCGTCGAGGGGGCAGGGAGGGTCTAGGATTATGTCGGGCATGTCCCTCTACAGGAGGAATATTCAAAAATAGTCAAAACATAGTCTGGGGACATTTGTTTCTAGCATTTTTGGGTTATTCTGGAGTATTTTTTCGTATTTTCGATTTTTCGTCCAAAATCCGCCTGTATGGGGGACACGCCCGACCTAAGTCTAGGAGGGAGTGGGGAGGGGGGGGCAGGGACGGCGGGGGCAGGAGAGGCAGGAGAGTGGGAGGTGGAGGGCGGGAGGAGGGAGGAGGGGGTAGGAGGTACGAATAGGGAGGATCGTGGCCTAGTTGACTTTTTGTTTGAGCATCAGTCCCAGACGAGCCTGGCAGGTTATCTCCTTTAGTGGGTGCCCCCAGCTCAAGTCGAGCGCCAGCTTTCATCTCCGAGATCCGAGTCGGGAGGGGTGTGGCTGATTTTTGAACATCAGCCCCAACGTGTCTGGCACGGTAGACGAGCCATGCTTCATCTCTTTTCTGACCGTCCATACCTCATGTAGAGTGCCCTTCTGCGGCGCGGAAGCTCGAGCACCGAAGAGGTTCGAGGAAACGCCAACATGGATACGGCGCGTGGATCAGCGACGTGTCCCACTTCCGCACCAAAGCGGCGCGCTTCGTCAATGAGTCGGGCGGCACTGGCGGCATGCTTCTAGGGCTACGCTCCCAGGCTCGCCAGATCCACGGTTCCTTACCCATGTACGCCTGTGCCTGGGAGAGTCGTCGCACCTGTCATCGCGTCAACATCGCAGAGCGGATTTCGTTCGGAAAACAATCGGATGAGCCCGGGGTGTCCTGGATAATTTCGCTCCGGATTTCGCAGTAAATTTCGTGCGGATTTTTGCTGGCCAGGAATGATGATGATGATGATGATGATGATGATGATGACGCTGCTGCTGCTGCTGATGATGATGATGATGATGATGATGCTGATGATGATGATGATGATGATGATGATGATGATGATGATGATGATGATGATGATGATGATGATGATGATGATGATATGATGATGATGATGATGAGGATGAGGATGAGGAGGAGGAGGAGGAGGAGGAGGAGGAAGGGCAGGAGGAGGAGGAGGAGGAGGAGGAGGAGGAGGAGGAGGAGGAGGAGGAGTTGGAGGATGAGGAGGTCGATGTCGCTGTTGCTGCCGCCCTCAGGCGGCCTGGCTGGCGCGGCGGCGCCGCCGCCCGCGGAAGCGCCTCTGGAGCCCAGGGCCGAGTGCGCTAGGCGCGGAAAGCGCAAGCGCCGGGCACCGACGGCCGAAGGTGTGGCGGCGGAAGGCGGCGGGGGCAGAAGAAATATCATGGCCCCCAGTCCTTCTTCCCCTCCTCCCCCTCTTCTTCCGCCTCCTTTTCCTGCTGCTGCTGCTTCTGCTCCTCCTGCTCAACCTCTTTCTCCTCTTCCTCCTCCTCCTCCTCCCGTTCCCCTACTCAACCTACTCCTTCTCCCCCTTTCTTCTCCCCCTCTTCCTCCTCCTCGTCCTCCTCGTCCTCCTCCTTCTTCTCCTCTTGTTCGTCCTTCCTCCTCGTCGTCCCCCCCCCTCTGGCGCTCGCCCCCAACTAGCTAAACAAACATGTGACCAAACATGCGGGCAATTGGCGTGTTTGTGGCGAACGTGATGGAGAAGGAGGAGGAGGAGGAGGAGGAGGAGGAGGAGGAGGAGGAGGAAGAGGAATATCCCCAATGCTGGAACAGCGCGTTGCGAAGACAAGCGAAGATACCGCCCAAAGTGAAACAAACCGCGCACAACGGTATGCACTGTAATTCCTGGGCTGCTACCCAGGGTTTCCCGGTTCATCCCAAGGTTCCCCGAACCAGTAGGGCACCCGTGCATTTCGAAGATCCTTCTCGGGCTTAGCACGAGCCCACATAGCAAATAATGCAACCCGGCCGATTATGCGTCATCTGCGTTTCTTCCGGCGCTTTGGAGGTAACGATGGGCGCCATCCGGCCATGTTTGTCCAGCCTTCGGCAGACCCTGGCGGAGTCTATTCAAAACTGTGGTCCCGCTAGGGGTAGGATGGCCGACACATTCGCTTGCCAGCTTCACCATCTGGGCTCTGCTCGGGAGCTGGACCCCAACATTCATGGCGCCAACCTCGCAGAGCGGATTCCATTCGGAAAACGATAGGATGGGCCCGGAGTGTCCCGGAGAATCTCGTTCCGGATTTCGAGGCGAATTTCGTGCGGATGTTTTTGTGCCAGGGCTGAAGACTAAACAAAATCCACGCGAAATTCATTTCGTTTTTCATTCGCCGTTTCGGGTTTTGTAGACAGCAATCAGCGCAAAAATCCACTGCAGCACGTCTGCAAGGTCGGTGCAATGAGAACATGGGCACAGCTCCAACACCATACTATCGGAGGTTGATAGACCTCCTACCCTGACACGTCGATTAGCGAATTGGCCGTTGGTTCGCGAGAAGGCGCCGCGGCCGTCATTTCCGGCAGGTCCAGTTCCGTCGGTTTTGTTTCTATGCCGTTTTCACTAGAGGGTGGCTTACTAAAGGGAGGTTTGTCCACCGCCGACCCATACTATGCCAGGCCATGCATGGTACTCGTGCGGTGCGAATCGCGAGTCTGTCGAGCACCGATTGACACTTGCACTGGGGCAGCACGCACGGGCCTAGCCGGCTGGGCGTGCGGCCGCACCGTCCCAGGGTGGAGGGTTTCTCCGAAGGGCTTGGGTGACCCGTCCTCCTCCTCCTCGTCCTCCTCCTCCTCCTCCTTCTTACTCCTCCTCCTCCTACTCCTCCCCCTCCTCGCCCTCCTCCTCCTCCTCCTCCTCCTCCTCCTCCTCCTCCTCCTCCTCCATCTCCTCCCTCCTCCTCCTCCTCCTCCTCCTCCTCCTCCTCCTCCTCCTCCTCCTCCTCTCCTTCCCTCCTCCTCCTCCTCCTCCTCCTCCTCTCCTCCCCCCTCCTCCTCCTCCTCTCCCTCCTCCTCCTCCTCCTCCTCCTCTTCGCCCTCGCCTCCTCGGGTCGTCCACGGCCCCCAGGGTAAACGTTGGCTACTAACCACTCCTTCAAAGGCTGCTTTCCTGGGGAGCCTGTGCACGATTTACAAGTCCTCCTTTTGCCCCGCCGCGCTAATGTATGGCCAGACTTCAAGGGGAGCTCGTCCAACATCTTTGGTTCTGGCGAGGAGGTTGCAAAGCCGAGCGCTCATGGCCAAGCGAGCAGCACTGCTGTTGAACAGACGCGATGCGCCTCAGAACTCGTGCTGTCAACATGTCCACCTCGCGCAAAACGCGCAGCGCTAGCTCGATGATTTTGGCTGCGTATTGCGCCCCCTTCTGCGCGAGGGTGTCCGCCATGTCGTTGCCAATCGTGATGTCCAGAGCTCGTCCAACTAGAGCTTTATCGTCATCATAATCCAAATGCGAATAACATTTGATGACACGTACTTGTCCTGGTCGTCGAAGGAGGACTTCCCCGATTCTCTTCCACCATCCGGCTTAAGGTCCCGATGGGTTGCGGTAGCTTGCAGCGGCCCAGCCGTCTCAGACCAGTTGGTTGTCAGAGTACACGATCACCACAAACCACAGAGTATCGAGTTCTGAACTGGGGACGGTTTGGCGCCCATCTACTGTGCCACACCATGCGGTACAATCTGCTCTGGGCGTCTCGGGACCCCAAGCGGCGTCGCCAGCGCGCCGAATGGCCACGCCCGGGCCAGCCCTTCCAACCCGTGCATCTTCGGAGGTGAGTGAGCCATCCAAGTAAGCCGTCATGGCATGCACCGCGTGCGAGGGGTTGAGGAGGCAGGTGGTGCAGTCCAGGACTGGGTCATCGAGGTGTTGGCCAGATACCTGCACATGGTCAAGATCGTCTCAGCCAGGGGCTGCCGGCACCGTATTCCAAAGATCTCGGCGGCACACCGCGTGTCCAGAAAGCGTCGGCAGTTCATCCCGTCGTGCTGCACATGCCCGCTGCCAGACTGGGTCAGTCCGTACTCGCCGAGCGCGTTCCACTACTCGCAAAGTGCCTACTCGCAAACGTCCGAAAAACACCTGTCTGTTTTTCTGTAATTTCTCGTAGATCCCCCGCGGGGGATCCAAGCCATTTGCGAGTAGCTACTTTGCGAGTAGTGGAGCACGCTCGTCGACATACGCTCGTCTGTCGGTCAGGCGGTCCGTCGGTCGTCGTTGTCGGTCGTCGTCGTGTCGGTCGGTCGGTCCGTCGGTCCGTCGGTCTTTACCGGTCGTCGGTCGTCGTTGTTGGTCGCCGTCGTCGTCGTGTCTGTCCGTCGGTCGGTCGGTCAGGCGGTCCGTCGGTCGTCGTTGTCGGTCGTCGTCGTGTCGGTCCGTCGGGCGGTCGGTCCCGTCGTTCTCTGTCGGTCGCTGTCTCGGTGGGCCGGTCGCTCTGTCGGTCGATCTGTTCGATCGGTCGTCGTCGGTCGTCAGCGTTTCGGTCGGGCGGGCGGTCGGTCGGTTTGGTCGTCGATCGTCGGTTGGTCGGTCGGTCGGTTGTCGTCGTTGTCGTCGTTTCGGGGGAGCGTAAGACCCGGGTTTGCCAGGACTCGGGTTCGCCATCGTTTTTTGACGACCGTGCCTCGGATTTTGACGAGGAGTTTTGTGGGATGTCTGCAGCGGGAGGCCTCGTCAAAATGCAGGCTCGGCTTCGTCATTTTTTGACGACCTCGTCGGGGATTTCCGAGTCCCCTGTACCCAGGTCTTACGTCCCCCTGATCGTTGTCGTCGTTGTCGTCGTCGTCGTCGTCGTCGTCGTCGTCGTCGTCTTGGTCGTCGTCGTCGTCTTGGTCGTTGGTTGGTTGTCGTCTTGGTCGTCGGTCGTCGGTCCACAGCTGGAATCTGCCCACGCCATGGCGCGCTCTGAAACCGCGCCCCTGGAGCAAGGCCGCTACGGAAGCAATAAAGTTGAGAACAAGACGTTGGACCACAAATCTGCCCGATATTACATGCTCATGAAACTTTTTTCACGACCAGCAAGAGTCCACTGACTGTAGAAAGGGAGGGCATACAGCCACGACGCTGCAATGGGAACCCCCCTTGGGCTCAGGGGGGGCTCGGGGTCTACTGGCCGTTCCTTAGCTCTGCGTCGGGGCACCTGTGCGTGTGTGTGTGTGTGTGTGTGTCGCCCAGGCCAGCCGTGACCAGAAAAACCGCGTCGTTCCTTATCATGCGCTCCTCATGTGCTAGCGTGCTAGCAGTAAGTCGGACATGCCCCTCTACAGGAGGAATGCACAAAATTAGTCAACAAATAGCAGGGGGACGATATTCCGACTAATTATAGTTTTTTTGAACATCTCTTAACATTTCTTCCAAAGGCCGTTTTTAGGAGGACATACCCAACCTAAAGCCAGCACGAGGGCTACAGGGAAGGGAGCCGGGCTGCGAAGTCTGAAGCACGCAGCGGGTCTCGCCCCCCCGCCGCCGGGCGCCTTCCTCTCGATATACGCCGGCGCCTGCGGCGCTGGGGGGGCGCCGGGAAAGTCAGTTACGTGAGCCAGGCAGGCCTGGGATGAGGATGCATCCATGGCCTGGTTTCACCACCACCTTCAGAAGTTGGAGGAGGAGGACGAAGAGGAGGTGGAGGAGGAGGAGGAGGTTGCATCGCTTCCAAGCGTTCCAGAACACTCACAGATGAGAGGCGACGACGGGGGCGAATAGCCTAGGGGAGAGCCATACATCTGTTCAGGGACGCCGATGATCTATGTCTTCGACGAGGCTCCCGGGCGAATGCGTGTAATGCCCGTCCCTAGGCTATTCGCCCTTATCGTCGCCGCCGATCAGAGCGTTCCAGAACGCCGAGTACCGGGTACATCCTCCAGATTCGCCGACTCCAAGAGGTCCCTGACGTATCCCGGTTCGCCTTCGTCCCGATCCTGGCTTTGTCTCAGCGAGCTGAGTCGCACCCCTCTTTCCTGCCCCTCTCCGTCTGGCTTACCCCCCTTTTCGTTCTGCTGCCCCCCGTCTTTTCGTCTCGTTTACTGTTTTGTTTGGTTGCTTTCTGCTTTGTTGTTCCTCCACCCCATTTCGCCCGACCCGGCCAGCGTTCCGTCGAGCCTGTCCCTCTACAGGAGGACGATTCAAAAATAGTCGGCGGAAAATAGTCGGCGGACGATGTATATATAGTATTTTTAAGTTTCGTCGAAAATCGGCCTGTGGGGGGACATGCCCGACCTGAGGCCAGCGCAGCGCGCACGGCCTGGCGCTCGCGCGCTCCTCCTCCCCCACGAGGCGGCGAGGCCGCCGTGCCCGCCAGAGCGCCGAGGCCGCCGAGCCCCGTTGCGGCGGCGGGCTGCGCGGCTGGCGGGTGGCAGGCGCGCATGATGTCGGCTGTAGGAGGAGGAGGAGGAGGAGGAGGAGGAGGAGGAGGAGGAGGAGGAGGAGGAGGAGGAGGAGGAGGAGGAGGAGGAGGAGGAGGAGGAAGGGGTGGGGATCGAGGAGGAGAGGAGGAGGAGGAGGAGGAGGAGGAGGAGGAGGAGGAGGAGGAGGAGGAGGAGGAGGAGGAGGAGGGGGTGGGGAGGAGGAGGGGGAGGGGGAGGGGGAAGAAGAGATGGAAGTGGTGCCGATTGGGCGTCAAAGCGGTGCCGACTTACCGTCCAGAAGCGTCGATTTTGATCACTGCCGTTTCTTCGGTGCTCACTGCAGTACTGACTGGGTGCCCCCCTCCCCCACCGCCGTCATTTTGAACTTATTTTTGATGTTTGCCGGCGAGCCCGCTGCCATTTCGTTGTCTGTTCCCCACGCTTGTTTTTTCATATGAGTTTGCTATCTCCGGCGCGTAGGAGCGCCGGCGGACGCCTGAGAGCGCCTGCGAGCGCCTGCGCGCCCTTGCGAGCGCTTGCGAATGCTTGTGGATCCTGTGGGGGAGGTCGCCCAGGAGCGCATACGAACGCCCAGGAACGCCAGGAGGCGCCTGGGAGCGCCTGCGCGTTCCAGGGCGCCTGCGAGTGCTGCGCGCGCGTTTCGGAGCGCTTGCGAGTGCCGGGGCTCGAGCGCACGGTGTTGCGTTCAGCATCATGATCGCTACTGCAGGGGATTCTGCGGGTCAAGGATTGTACGTTGCTTGTTAAATCGTATTTTTCTGTGCTTATTTCATCTTTTTGATTATTTGAGTTCTGCATATTTCTTATATTCGTTGCATCTTATTCAACTGATTGCAAAACGCAGCCCGCCATAATAATTCCGCACTGTCCACAAAGCGATTTGCCACCAACTTTCTTATGGGGAGTTCCAACTGAGTTTCATTTGGTGTGATCGATTTAGCGTCGATTAGCGTCGGCCGGCGTCGATTCGCAAGAGCCAGCAAGATGTCGTATGCCGTATGCTGTGTGTAGCGGTATGTAGCTGTCGCGGCGGCGGGCTGCGCGGCCGGTGGGTGGCAGGCGCGCAGGTTTTGCTATCAGGGGAGGAGGGGCGGTGGGCAACCGCTGGTTTCGCCGACGGCTGGTTTCGCCCGTCTGGTTTCGCCGGCCGGCGAAAGCAGCTGCCGTCGGCGAAACAAGCTTCCGTCGGCGAAACCAGCTGCCGTCGGCGAAACCAGCTGCCGTCGGCGAAACCAGCTGCAGTCGGCGAGACTGCCCTGTCCGACCCGACCGCTAGGGTCCGCCCGCCTGACCCGAACCGCCCGTTAGGGTTCGCGCGTGCTCGGTCGAGCGCGCCCCACATTTCAATCCCGTGACCCGACCCGCCCGCCCGACCCGACCCGCCGTCCGCTAGGGTCCGCCCGTCCGACCCGACCCGCCCGTTAGGGTTCGCGCGTGCTCGGTCGAGCGCACCCCCTACATGTTCATATCCCGCCCGCCCGGCCCGATCCGAACGCCCGCTAGGGTCTACCCTCCCGACCTGGCTCCGTCGAGCGCGCGCCACACTTTAAGTTCCCGCCCACCCGACCCGACCCGCCAGTTAGGGTCCGCCCGCCCGACCCGACCCGAACGCCCGCTAGGGTCCACCCGTCCGAGCCCCACTCTAAGGTGCCGCTCGACCCGACCCGCCCGTAGGGTCCGCCCGCCCGACCCGACCCGACCCGCCGGCTAGGGTCCACCCCGCGCGTGCTCGGTCGAGTGTGCCCCACACTTTCATGTCCCGCCCGCCCGACCCGACCCTCCCGTTAGGGTCCGCGCCCCGACCCGACCCGACCTGCCCCTAGGGTCCACCCGCCCCGACCCCCCGCCCGTTAGGGTTCCCCGTGCTCCGGGTCGCGCGCGTCACTTTCATGCCCCGCTTTCATGTCCCGCCCGCCCGACCCGACCCTCCCGTTAGGGTCCGCGCGCCCGACCCGACCCGACCTGCCCGCTAGGGTCCACCCGCCCGACCCGACCCGCCCGTTAGGGTTCTCGCGTGCTCCGTCGAGCGCGCGCCACACTTTCATGTCCCGCCCGCCTGCCCGACCCGACCCGCCTGTTAGGGTCCGCCCGCCCGACCCGACCCGAACGCCCGCTAGGGTCCACCTGCCCGACCCGACCCGCCCGTTAGGATTCGCGCGTGTTCGGTCGAGCGCGCCCATTTTTTAATGTCCCGCCCGCCCGACCCGACCCACCCGGTAGGGTCCGCCCGCCCGACCCGACCCGACCCGACCTGCCCGGTAAGGTCCGCCCGCCCGACCCAATCCGACCCGCCCGCTAGGGTCCGCCCGCCCGACCGGGCCCGCCAGTTAGGGTTCGCTCGTGTTCGGTCGAGCGTGCCCCACTTTCTAAGGTCCCGCCCGCCTGCCAGACCCGACCCGCCCGCCCGACCCGACCCGACCCGCCCGTTCGAGTCCGCCCGCCCGACCCGACCCGCCCGTTAGTGTCCGACGCCCGACGCTCGACGATGACGACTGCGACAACGACGACGACGACGACGGCGACGGCGACGGCGACGGCGACGGCGACGGCGACGACGGCGTCGGCAAAACCAGCGCCGGCGAAACCAGCTCCAGCGAAACCAGCTGCCGGCGAAACCAGCCGTCGGCGAAACCAGCGGGGCGAAACCAGTGCCGGCGAAACCAGCGCTGGCGAAACCAGACGTCGGCGAAACCAGCGGGGCGAAACCAGCGCTGGCGAAACCAGCGCCAGAGAAACAAGCGGTGCTGATGCCGTGAAAGTATTTGGGCCTCCCAGATGGGGTCCGAGTAGATGGGGTCGGGTCGGAGGATCGCGCCGCATCGCGGATGCATCGCCGATGCGGTTCGATGTGGAGCTCGGTTTTCTCCACGTCGATGGCGCCGATGCGTCGCCGATGTCGCTGATACACCGCCGATGCATCACCGACGCGTCGCCGATGCATCGGCGATGTATTGCATTGCCGATGCGGCGATATGCGGCGCGATCCTCCGACCCCATCTAGGAGGCCTCTAAGGTACTGATTTTCCTTATCATAGAATAGACTCTACCCCCCCCCCGGCGTTGTCGGCCCGCCTTTCGGGTATGTAAATCACATCTGATTCTGACCACATGTCCATCCTAAATATGAAATCACAATGTCCCAGGCCAACCGGGTTCCCCCCCCTGAGGTTCCCTTGTAAAAAACACGATGCGGTGACATTTTGGTTCTAACAAAGCACTTTTTCACGAATCCCTTGTAAAAAACCATGGGACGGAGTGCACACGCGCGCGACGTCGCGCGCGCATGCCGAAATCCTTCAAACACCTTCGGTGCCGGAAGGATTTCGCAATCGAGATCCCCAAAAACATACAAAACCACAAGGTTTCGCAACACCGATTTGCTACAAAAGCTTCCGCGCTAAGAAAACCTTAGGTTTTTCAAGATTTTAATAAAATGCTATTAAACGGGCTTCGCGCGAGCGCATGTCGAAATCTGTCGCACGCCCTTGCGCGTGTGCCGTCGCGAGAATCCTCTGCAAAAAACGGGGCGAAGTGCAGACGCGCGCGTCGTCGCGCGCGTACGCCGAAAATCTTCAAAACCCATCGGTTTCGGAAGGATTTCAACATCGTGTGTCCAAAAAACCTACAAAACACAAGGTTTCGCAACACGGATGTTCAACAAATGCGTGCGCGCGCGCGCTCTTGCGTCGTCGTCGTCGTCGTCGCCGTCCTCCCTCCTCCCGCGTCGTCGTCGTCGTCGTCGTCGCCTACGTCGTCCTCTGTCTTTCCTCGTGTTCGTCGTCGTCGTCCTCTCTGGCGTCGTGGTCGTTTCCGTCGTCGTTGTCGCCGTGGTCGTCCTTCCTCCTCCTCCCTCGTCGTCGTCGTCGTCGTCCGTCGTCGGCGTCTCGTCGTCGTCCCTCCTATTTCGTCGCCGTCGTCGTCATCGTTGTCGTCGTCGTCTTCCCTCCTCCCTCGTCGTTGTCGTCGTCGACGTCGCCGTCCTTCCTCCTTCTTCCTCGTTCGCGTCGTCGCCGTCCTCCCTCCTCCCTCGTCGTTGTCGTCGTTGTTGTCGTTGTCGCCGTCGTCGTCCTTCCTCCTCCCTCGTCGTCGTCTTCGTTGGCGTCGTCGTCTTCGTCGTCGTCGGCGTCGGCGTCGTTGTCGTCGTCGAAGTCGTCGGAGACGTCGTCGGTGTCGTCGTAGTCGTTGTCGTCGTAGTCGGTCTTAGGAGGTTTTGCAAACCAAGTTGCGGGTGGGTGGGTGGGATGTTTGCAAGAGCGTGGGATGTGTCAAATCATGGGTAAAAATCAGTACCTTTCCTCAGTTTTTCGCCTTTGTGGGCCTCCTGGGATGCCTTCGTCGGCGCGCACCATTGGAGAGGTCGGGAAGCAGTGGTGTCGGTATCTGTTGGTTTCCCCAGGCTTGTTGTAAGAGTTCAGAGGATGAGAAGGTAGCGATACCGTTGCTCGTCAAGGAGAGTTCTCGTCGCCACGGCTGGATTATCCTCGAAATTCTGGTCAGAATGTACCCTGGCAGTTGTCTGGGGAGTAGCGGTATTGTTTTTCTTGCACTACCAAGAGTGGCCCTTCGCCGGAGTGGCAGGCTCGAAGAGTCGACTTTTCGTAAGGGGTACTCTTCGCCGTCGCCGGAGTGACTTTCCAAGATCTCCGACGATTCTAAATTTTCGATGTAGTAGAAACGGCCGATCGTTCAAGGCTGTGCGATTTCTGCGGTGCCAGGAACCAGCGCCGAAGTCGGCACGACATGGACCTGCTGTATGAGCGTGTGTCGTTATATCAGTATCGTTTAGCCGACCCCTGTCCCCATCCCCATGACCCATCCGGACCCCCACCATCTCGGCACCCCAATTGAGGATATACCCCTCGAAGCCCAGAGGACACGGCCTTTGTCCCCATCCAGGGGGGGAAACGGGCCAGAGGGGCTCAGGCCACCCCCGTCGGGGATGGGGGTCGGCCAGACGATGTTCGTTTTATGTGTGCCGTCTGTTCCCTCTC